AACACCAAGTAATGGAAGTTCAGCTCCTCATTTGGAAACTAAACATGCTATAAAAATATAAAAGAAATACTATTCTAAATTGAGCTTATGAGTATGGAAGAAGGAGTGATAAATAGTGAAGGAAAAGTGTGCTATTTATAGGTGTTTTTCAACACCTTGGGCCGGGTACCCGACCGGGTCAAGTGCCCACCCGACCGAGTGGATGTCAAGATCAGATAATCTTCCACGTTCTTGTGTTTCAGCACGTTAAAATGTCTCGGGTCAAATCCAACCCGACTGGGTGAAATACCTCACCCGACCGGGTGATTGTCCTGGACAACCAATAATCATTTTCTTCCCTTCAAAGTCTTCCTTTCCAACACCATAAATCCTAACTCTACTTTAAAACTTACAAATGAGAACTAAAATACAATTAAATCACACAAATGTTTACAAACTAAATGTTGGTCCCGTTTATACTGGGAACAGTCTAGAGGGGGGGTGATTAGACTGTTCATGTTTTTCAAACTTTTCTCAATGTCAACACTGACTTATCAGAGAAGGTCTGGTTCTGGTGAGAGAGAAGGTCGAGTTCTGATGATAGAACTGGACCTGGCAGCGGATAAAAGTTCTGTCTGGGTAGCCTCAGGGAAACACTAAGGCAAATGCCTTTCTGATAACTCTTAGAACAAGATCTGCTGAGCACAGAGTCCAAGTTCTTGGGAGTTAAGCAGTTACAGTCTTAAGTGCAGAAATTAAATGCGTAAAGTAAATGACTCCGGGGGTTTTATAGTGGTTCAAGGAACAACGTGCTCCTCTAGTCCACTGTTCCACTAAGCTTGTAAGTCAACAATTACAACGCCTTAGTCCCTAGAACTTAAGAAGCACTCCATGTCTTCTTCAAGCCTAGTTGTCACCTGGGACGCTCTTCCTGGCTTCCTGATGACTGGTCTCGTTTCATTGAGTCTCTTGAAGTATCCCCACTTCACTACTCCAGCTAATTTGAGACTTCCTTCTTTGCAGAAGATGTGCTGTAGAAAAATAGAGTTTTTCTCCAACTTGCTTCGTCACAATAGATTTGTAAGTGAGGTGTTTGAAGTTGTTGAAGAGCAGTAGGAACTTTGCTCTTGTTGGTGTTGAAGAATATATGAAGTTATGATCTTCCCAACGTAAGCATTTCTCGTTGATGGATAGTCTACCCGGGGTTATCTTATCTGAGGGGTTATTGCGGGAATAACTAAAGAGAAGTCAGAGCAAATAGGAGAAGAGAGAGTCGATTGTATTAAATGAACTCAGCGTGGTTTACAATGAGAATAAGGGCTGCTATTTATAGCAGCAATAAATGCGAAGAGAGTACACATGTCAGTAATCCAACGGCCGAGGGGTCACCTCAATCGGGGTGGCACCGGCCATCGCACGTTCCCCGCATTAAATGCGATGGGTGGATGTGACGTCGCATTAAATGCAGCGGTTGGCTGTCTCTAAAGGGAATCTTCGATGATTGAGTCTGTTTAGCCGGAGGCTTTTCACGCAGCCGAGGGCTTTGTGTGGCCGAGGGCTTCGTGTAGCCGAAGGCCCTGTGTCGCCGAAGGCTTCCCTGATGCCGAGGGCTCACAATGCCAAAGGCTCCTGTTTTCTGCCGTTTTCTCCCAGTAGCTTTGTATGCCCAAAAAGGGCTATTCTGTGAGTTTTGGAGCCTTCGGCCAAGGCAGCCGAAGGCACCCTAGTGTGTATTTTGGGCTTCCTTGGACTTGGGCCACTGTATTTGGACCTCGGATGCTCCGTGGGCTCAATGGGCCTTCATAGGAGGAGTATGAGTCTGTGGGTCGGGAGTTCCTGGGCCATATACTCCATCACTCGTTAATGGAGATGGAGTTTTAAACCTCAAGAGAGCTTTTTGAATGTTTTTGTAGCAAAAGTTGTCCCGTTGTTCTTCGAGGGTGTTTCTTTTATACTGGGGTTGTCTTCCCGTTGGAGGAGGAGACAACTGCATTGAATGCTCGTACAGAAGAGTTGACAGGTTGGACCCACAAATTTGATAGCTTGCTATTTTTGTATAATATTCTCCAGGAATCCCGGTCAATCATCTGCAATTACTCCACAGCGTATCAGGCTCATTAAATGAGCATTAAATGCTTTCCTTTTCCTTTTCATGGAAAGTCTTCTAGCCGTTAAGGTATTTCCTGTTAGTTTCACGGCCGTTGGAAATAGCACTGAGATCTTCTAAGTGCCCCATCCTATTCTGATGAGATTCTCTGATAGCAGTTCTGAGGTCTGGATCTGATGGCAGCTCTCGTGTCGAACTCTGGTGTTCTTCTGAGGAGCAACTCTGGTATCAGCTCTGAAGAGTAGCTCTGGCAGCAACTCTGAAGAGTAGCTCTGGTAGCAACTCTGATCAGAAAATTCAGGAGGGTCTCTGACCAGTCGACTATGCTAATACTTACAAAGAGAAATACTAATACAAGATTTCTAAAAGGGGGTAATCTAATATTCTAATTAACCTAGCATCATCAAAATCTAAGTACATTTATTCCTTACACTAAATAAAACGATAAACAATACATCACTAAATAGTGTGGAGTTATCTAGAAAAATATAGCACTATCTAGATGTGTGTAAAATGTTCTAGTGTCTTCTAGAATGCGTACTCTAGTCTCTAGAGATCAAATGTCGAAATCTGTATAAATGTGTGAAAGGTTGTAAAGTAGTTTAGAGTGTTCTAAATAAGCGTGGAGTCATCTAAGTTCTTCAAGAGGATCATGTAAGCTTGTGAAGTCTTCTTGAAAGAATCTAGAATGTAGAGAGGTAGGTGGAAGATTCTAGAAAAAGTCTATTCCTACCCCTTTGTGAGAAGTATAAATAGATGTTGTAGCCTTTCATTTGAAGCATGAAAGAAAAGCTTCTCATAAGTGAGGAAGAGTGATGTTTTCCCAACTAGAAAGAGTAAAGTGAGAAACCCGTTCATTTGTAAACTCTATCTTGTACATTTCAATTATACAATATATTTTTTTTCTTAGCTCGTGATCTTGATAGAGTTCGGGGCGTCATGTTTTCTCCAATAATATATTAGTTTGTATTTTTATATCAACCGGTGTGAGATAGATTAATGCATAGATCACTTATTTTGAGTAACTTAACTTGTTGGGAATTTGGAATCCGCAATGATTTGTAGTGAGTCATCCCCTAAATTTCTTAACTAGTTAATCACGAAAATGCATGCTTCTGTTTTGTTCTTAATTTTTCCGTGTTCTCATGCCTATCAAACAAGATAGTGAAACTGAATTTTTGTCTCATGTTTGGCAGATGAGATAGGTATAGCATAATCCATGTGTTTACCTATATCTTGAGGTTCTATAAAGGAGGACATTCAGTGAGTAAGTTATAAAGCATGTTGGAATTATGTTCATGGAAATGATTATCTCGTTTAAAAATTAAAGAGCTAATTTATCTTAAAATATGTTATATGTTTGGAAGCTTGAGGGAAGGGATTGGGAGGAGTCGTTAAAGGGAGAGGAAAGTGAAATAATTAACTTTTTTTAGTTACAAATTTGATAGAGGGAGACTTTTGAGGAATTACATTTAAAATGACTTTAATTAGACGTATATTATATTCAATAGTTGAAGCTCTATTTATTTCAAATTGAGTTGAAGCTCTATTTATTTCAAATTGAGTTGAAGTTATCATATTGTGTTTTTGAGTTAAAGCTCTATTAATTTATCCCCTAAGATTGAGGCAAAAGAGGAATGCAGTTAATACGAAAAACGGAATTGTGTTTTTGATATAGAATTGTGTATCAGGATTAAAGATTTACATTCGTCTATTACTTTGCTTAAAATATGAATAAAGTTAAAATAAATTGCAACCACTCAAATAATACCATTGTATGAGACAAATTAAACTTTGTTAATGAAATTGAAATAGACGAATTATGTTAAATTGAATGACGATTTATGGCATATTCTCTGTTTTTCCCATTGATTAATTACTTCGCTAAGATAACATAAAATTAACCGAAATCTATACTGGTAGTTTATGCAAAACATTTCCAGAGATTCATCCGGGTTCACACAAATTCTAACAATTAAATTCATATCGGTTTATTTGTAGCCTGTAGGGATGGGGTCATGGGGTAGAAAGAAATTAAAGAGGTCGATAAAGTAAAACCATATACTGATACTCCGTCTAAATTTGTATTATTTACAAAAGTATTTGAGCCAATAAGCACTTTGTAGTAGAGACTAGAGACACATACGAAAATTAGGAATGCGCTGGATTAAAGAATAACTTTAGTAGATTCAAGAATAATTATATAGGGACTAAAGAATAAAATTAAAATTAAATTTACATTACCATTGAGGTCATATATTCGAATATAATCTCAATCAAAGCTAAACATATTGTTAGATTCATGTCTTATAAATTAAATGTTTAAAGAATGATGTTAAATTCTTTCCCTTTTAAATTTTCAAAATCAGAATTTTTTAATTTATACAATACGGAATGAAATAAATTAATGATCAAATTTGTGTATAAATAAACGTGAAAATTGGACGGTTCCAACGAAAAAAGAACGGAAAAACTACTATGTATGGATTACACTAATTTATAGTTAAATTTGCCAAGATAATTTGAACTTCTCTAACATATGCTTATGACGACCAAATAAAAAATTTTATGTACAAAGTCATTATGGTTCCCACATTTAGGATTTTCTTTTATTGAAAGTATTGAGTTCAAAATGAAGACATTTCATCCTTGAACACTCTTCAGCACCGGTCGGACAGTTAATTGAGAATGTAAATTGGACTTTAATCATAAGCTGATAAATAGTGAGTGAGACTCTGATCCAGATATTTGCAGAAGCCTTTCATTTTTTAATAGTAAATTCTCATCGCAGTTGTCGAGATTCAAACTCGACATATAATACTTGTGACACATCTACCTACCGGTTGAACTACATTCGCCCGCTCTATTAGAGAAGATATTTAAGTGGTAGCTTCAATAATCTTAAGAGTTACCCTTTTGGTCTTTAACCAAAATTAGAAGGGCGAAATCCGGATTACCATCTAGTGCTAACAAATTGCATATACAAAATTACATTACTGCCCACTCCCCCTAACACTTATAACTCCTCTAATCCGCTTCTTCACTCCATTAGCCATCTCTTCCCTTCCAGCCCGGCCAGGAAATATCTATAGGAAGGAAGAAAAAGAAATGGGTGTTTTATGCTTAGCCTACATTTCCATTCTTATCTACCCACTCTTACGATCAGCTCAAGCTAAACACCCAGGCGTTTACACCGGCGGCGCGTGGCACTCAGCTCACGCCACCTTCTACGGAGGCAGCGACGCCTCCGGCACCATGGGCGGCGCGTGCGGGTACGGAGACCTCTACAGCCAAGGCTACGGAGTGAACAATGGAGCTTTGAGCACCGCCCTCTTCAACGACGGCCTCAGCTGCGGGGCCTGCTTCGAGATCAAGTGCGCCGACGATCAATCTTGTGTTCCCGGCAACCCGTCGATCTTTATTACGGCGACCAATTTCTGCCCCCCAAACAATGATCTGCCCAGCGACAACGGTGGCTGGTGCAACCCTCCGCGGCCTCATTTCGACCTCTCCATGCCCATGTTCCTCAAGATTGCCGAGTACCGCGCCGGAATCGTCCCCATCACTTACCGCCGGTGGGTTCTTCTTTTGTTTTTTTTGCCGTGTATTTTTTTTATCCGGTGAAATGTATAAATGGTATCTTAAATATTACGAGTAGTATTCGTACATTTTGGTATTTTAACTTTTAAACTATGTAGCACAAAAAAAAAATCGATTAAAATACGTTTCTGTTTCAAAAACTGTACAGAACCTTATGTTTCCTGTTAAATTTCTCATTTCCTCAAAATTTGCACGACTCAATGCTATATACTATCCTCCGTCTCTTTTTAATTGCAACATGTTGAATTTTACACAATTCACATATACTACTTTGACTACATTTTATATTATTATTTTATAAAAATTATTTTTTGAAAAAGATATTGTTCAATTCATCTCGTTATAAATTTTCAAAATCTAATTTTTAAATATTTTTTTCTAATAGAGATTAAGATATCATTACGGTCATAGAGATGCGTTGGCAAGTGTGAAATGTTGACCGTTGCAACTAAAAAAGAACGGAAGAAGTATCTTAAATGAATTAGAGAGTATCATAATTAGGTGACAACTCCGGTACCCATTTAAAAAATGGGGGTACCGTACCTAACACTCACATGATTGGTCCAAATCATTTTTAATTTAGATTTAAATAATTCAACTACAACATTTTAATTGGTCCAAGTGGACAAATGTATGGTACCTTTTTGGGTACATAGAATCTACGTCATAATTATGCATAAATCTTACAAAAATAACTAAATTTGCAGCCAATTAGGGCGATTTGTTTCTTTCTTTGTCCTGGGATTATGGTGCGATTGTGAGTCAGATTGTGGTGGGCCCGGTTTCGCTATTACATATCTGAGCGTAATTACTAATTATCTACCCCCATGTTTTGCGATTTTGTTGCGCAGAGTAGCATGCCGGAAGAAGGGGGGAATACGGTTCACGATTAACGGCCACCAATTCTTCAACCTGGTTCTGATCACCAACGTGGGAGGCGCAGGGGATATTGTGAGGGTGAGGGTGAAAGGGTCAAAGACCGATTGGATAGAGATGAGCAGGAACTGGGGGCAAAACTGGCAAACTAACGCCGTTTTGAGCGGGCAGTCGTTATCTTTCCGGGTAAAGGCCAGCGACCGGCGGTCATCCACCTCCTGGAACATCGTCCCAAAGGGATGGGAGTTTGGCCAAACGTTCGTCGGGAAAAACTTTCGAGTGTGAATCACGTCTTTCCAGATGTCTAATTTTGGTCAACTTTTCCTTTTTCGGCTATGTTTGGCATATAAAAGCTGATAACTTCTGACTTATCTATTATTGAAAAAACTTCTAAAAGACTCGAATTTTGTGTTTGGCATGTTAACTTTTTTGAGAAGATCAGGACTTTTACGTGACGCTACGCAAGGAAGCGTCTCACAAAAAGACCTTTTCATTATTTACGACATTCCTTGTATAACCCTCCACTTCCTCTCTTTCATCTTCTCCAACTTTGCTATCAACGTCAATATCCCCCAAGTAACCTGCTTATGTTTCTTAAACCTTTTAATTCATCTCAATTTTTAACCGATGTGTTGTTGCTTATTTTTGTTTTGTTTAATAATTTGTTTTCAAAACATGTGTGATGTTACGTTCAAGCTTTAGAAACGTTGGCAGCTTTTTGGGTTGAGTATTTGTTTCATGTTCAGGTTCGTTTCGTTTATTGTAATGCTAATAGTTGTTGTTTTCGCTGAGTTTTTCATGCTTCTTTGGTTCAATACAATGGCCGTTTCTTGTTTTATTTCGTACTGTGGTCGTTTCTTGTTTTATTTCGTACTGCTTTGCCTTTTCAGCTTTTTGGGTTTATTTCCCTGGATTTTTCATAGTTTTTTGTGTATTCTTGTTATGTTTTTTCTTCAAATTTTGATGTAATTTTTTACTGTAATATTCTACTCGATTTCCTTTGCTGATATTTCCAAACATTTTGCACTTTTACTGTTCTTTTTCTTTTGTGTGTGCTATTTTTTGTTTTTATATGTTGTAGCACATTTTAGCTGCTATATTTTGTTGTCCAATGCACATCAGTAACTCAATGGGTGTAATATTGGTTATTCACGACTCGAAATGAGTACTAAAATATTTAATATGACTGTTCGTTCCCACAAAAATCTTCTCCGTTTGAATGGATTATCTGGAACAAATGAAAATAGAGAACTTGTTAATTAATTAATAATATTTGATCATAGCCCTTAATTGTAATTTTATAATTTCAGCTACTTATAACAGCTTGTTTTGCCAAACAAGGTTATCTAAAACAGGTAGCTTTTATGAAACAGCTACAGGCTGTGTTCGGCACGAGCTTGAAGCTGATAATTGACTGGAATTTTATTAATTCAGCTGATAAATGTAGAAGTAATACTGTTCGGAGAAAGGGCTGAATGAGGCTGGAGCTAAAAATAGTGGGCTGAATTCAAACGTTACCCAACCCAACGTTTGTGTTCAGTCTGTCGCTCAACAGCCTGTATGTCTAAACTATCCCTGCGCTGGTTCATCCGTAATACCCAAAATGGCAAAATTATCTCTTCACCATGGTTTCTGGAAATATCTTCGTTACCTTCTTCTCCAATTGCTGGCTATAATTATAAGGTATGTAATTTTACGATATCAATTTCGAGAAATCTCGTGCTTCCAATTTCGACTCTGGGATTTGAGTTGAATGGAGTTCTAGCCAGATTACAGAGGAAGATGGGACTCCGCAGCCTCACGAGCCACCGACCAACCGGTGTCTAACTCACCTTCACGCAACAATAAGCAGTTTCATGAACTCTAGCTCTACTTACCGCTACGAGGAAGAAGAAGAGGAAAATGAATTCGGCGAAGATATGTTCCTCGAATAAAGTGATACCTTATGAAGACGATTGGGTTCATACATTCACAGGACCTTGTGATGACCTTTACACTGTGTGCTACACTAGCACTGATGCATCGGAGATGAAAATGAGAGGATTTATGTGGAGGGTTTGTTAAGAAGATTTATTAAATACGAAGTATATTTTAATAAATATTAAATTATAAAAATCATTGTAAAAAATCATTGTAAAAAAACATAAAAAAGTAAAAATAAAATAAAAATCATTCTAATATACCCCGTATTTTTGAATAATAGGAGTATGTCTTATGCCCATAAATGTAATTTTTACATTTTCGAGTCACACTTCAGCTTTTTTTGTCAAACGGGTATACTTCATTAAGCTAGCAATCCAGATTCAGCACATCAGAATTCAATTCCAGACAATAGTTTTAGTTAAGTCAATAGCCCTCAATTCAGACATTAGTCTCCAGCTCCAGCTCGTTGTGCCAAACATAGCCACAGTCTTTTCCACCTGCAAGCTTTTCAGCTCAAAAAAGCTAACAGTTACAAAAAAATCTTCTCACGTCATAAAGTAAATATTGTGTTTAAAATACTTCCTCCACAAGGTTATTCTTGGACCCCAAAGACTTCTCACGTCCCTATTCGATAGAGCATGTGAGAATACTTCCTCCAAAAGGTTATTCTTGGACTCTATTAATAGTAAGGGAAAAAGACTTCAACTAAAACAATGCTTGGGAAGGTAAATAGGAGTCGGAACTTTTTAATCCCCAAATACGACTCATTTTTAAGGGACGGACAAAAAAACCCATGCCGCTCCCTGCAAATGTTTTGCTAGCGCCAACCGTAAACCCTCGATTCCTATCTTCGGATTTGGTGCGGCGGTGCAAATCCAGAAATCTGGTGGATGCAAATCTAGTTGGCGAAAAGTCAGAAATCTATGTTTGCAATCTATCTTTGGTTCGATGTTCAATCTTCATGACGGTGCATTTGATTCTACAGAAGTCAGGCCACACTAATTTGCCGTCTCAGAGACCATTCCGGAGAGCAGAGCAACTTTTCCTCAATCGAATTTTCAGTCTGATTGGCAGAGGGTTTGGAGCAGCATGTCCCCTTTCGTCTTGCAAGCTATCAAGATTCAAGGTCCTTTGCCTGGAATTACTTGGCCGACATGTTCAGTGTTGATTTTTTGTCATGGAGTACAGACTTAGGCACAACAAGCTGAAACTGGAGCTAATGTCTAAATTAGGGTCTATTGTCTGAACCATAGACTATTGTCTGGAGCTGAACTTTGAAATGCTGAATCTGAACCGCTAGCAGAATGAAGTAGACCCGTTTGGCAAAAAGAGTTGAAAAATCGTCCGGATTATATGAAATGACATTAAAGGGCATATTAATAATTAATACGTAGTACGAAAAAAATATATTATAATGAGTTTTATATTTTAATAAATATTAAGATTTTGTACATATTTATATGTGTATACGTGTATAAGAAAATATGGTGCATTGAATATAAAAAAAAGTATAAACATTTCTGCATATGAAAAAATTAAAATTTAACATTTCTGTATATGAAAACATAAAAAATAAACAGATAAAGATGAAGATCATCGTAGTAGAGGATAATCATAATAAAGCCGACATGGTATAACTTCCCTAAAGCAAAAAACGAAACAAAATTATAGAGCACTATACCAGATTAATTACTAAAAACATCAGAAATCATCAACGAAACACAACGGCAAGGCAGGGATATTTTAGGTGTGAAGGAGTCTTATACCATCGACTTAATAGAAACGTTAGGTTCCTAAGCGTTTGAGTCCAGACTATTTTTTTCAGCTTCGGCTAAGGTGCTGTTCTGTTCGTCTTATTCTTATTACTTATTACTTATTCTTATTTTATTCAGATCAGATCAGAAAAATTCAGATCAGATCAGATCAGAAAAATTCAGATCAGATCAGAGCAGATCAGAAAGATTCAGATCAGATCAGATCGGATCAGAAAGATTCAGATCAGATCAGAAAGATTCAGATCAAATCAGATCAGATCAGAAACATTCAGATCAGATCAGAAACATTCAAATCAGATCAGATCAGAAAAGTTCAAACATGATTTATCACTTTTATTATTATATTAATTATTATTATTAATATTATTATTACTATTATGATTATTATTATATAATTATTATTAATAATATTAATAATAATATGATTAAAAAATAAGATATTAATAATAGTTATAATATTTTAATATAATAATAGTAATATAAATGCAATTATTAAGAAGACTATTATTATTATTACAATATAATAATAATAATATGATTAATATTATTATAATATTATATTATAATTATATGTAATTATAATTATAATTACAAAATAAAATTCTTATAATTATAAGTATAATCAATTGTAATTATTATAACTATATCTATAATTAATTATAATTATAATTGTAATTAGTTATAATTATAATAATTATAATTATAATTACAATCATAATTATAATTATGATTACAATTATAATTATAATATAATATTATAATAATATAATACTAATTATAATAATAATAATAATCATATTATTATTATATTATTGTAATAATAATATTAATATAATAATATCGTTATAATAATATTAATTGCATTTATATTACTATTATTATATTATAATATTATAATTAATATTATTATTATTTTAAATTTAATTATAATAATATTATTATAAATATTACTATTATTATATTATAATAATATTAATATTAATATTTTAATTTTAATTATTATTATTATTATTATTATTATTATTAATTATTATTATTATTAATTATTATTATTATTATTATTGTTATTATTATTATAGTTACGATTATGATTATAATTTTATTTAAATTATATTTGTAATTGCAATTATAATAATTATAATTATAATTATAATTATAATTATAATTATAATTATAATTATAATTATAATTATAATTATAATTATAATTATAATTATAATTATAATTATAATTATAATTATAATTATAATTATAATTATAATTATAATTATTATTATTATTATAATTATAATTATAATTATAATTATAATTATAATTATAATTATAATAGAAATATTCAAATCAGATCAGATCAGAAAGATTCAGATCAGATCAGAAGGATTCAGATCAGATCAGAAACATTCAGATCAGATCAGACCAGATCAGAAACATTCAGATCAGATCAGAAAGATTCAGATCAGATCAGATCAGAAAGATTCAGATCAGATCAGATCAGATCAGAAAGATTCAGATCAGATCAGATCAGATCAGAAAAATTCAGATCAGATCAGATCAGAACTTAAAAAATTCAGATCAGAAACATTCAGATCAGGCGAAGAGAACAGCTTCTAAGTGTAGACTCTTACCCAAACAGGACTATTAATAAAATTATGAACTGAATTTAGCAGATTTCAGCCCATTACGGGCTGAATTGTCATGCCAAACATAGTCTTAGACTACAGAGCACTTTTTCCATTCCGTTTTTTGGCAACTCATTCCTTAGTTATTATGTTCTCTTTTCTATTTTTTATTTTATTTTACAAATTTCATTATTTTTAATAGTGAAATATTAGAATGTCATTGTTATGAAGTTGTTATGATGTTGTTATGACGTTGTTTATTGTACATAGCTAGTGTCATGAAATTACAATGACATATATTGACATTAGACATTCAGAGGCTGTTTGGTAGACCAAAAATGGGCTGATCAGCCTTAAAGTGGAAAAAAAAATGCCAAACACCTGTTCGTTGGGCTGTTGTGGCTGATTTTCCTTATCAGATGAAAAAACAAGCTCCCCCTTACTTTTTGGGCTGAAAACTATTATTTTACTGTTAGCTATTGCAAAGACCCCTATGCCCCTGTATTATATCTGGAAACTGGCTCTAATCATTCGCTTGTTTTCATTGGTTGGGCAACTATAGAATAGGCAGGATGCGGACTGGTTTTCTGAGTTTATTGTCGACGACAAAACAAGAAAACATCCCTATTTTAAAGTACATAAACAGAAAGAAAAACGAATTCCAATTATAAAATCCTTGTTAAAGAACACAACTTCTGGATTTCTAGCTAGTAAAAACAATGCGGAGTATATCAAAATGTTCATAGTAAGGATAAGATTAGTCCTGGATGCTTAAGGGCATCTGGGCATGGAATCAACGAATGTTGGAGGTTGGAGATAGAATGGTCATCTGGTCCTTCGGCACTTCAATCGACAAATGGGAATCGCTGATGGCAGAGTAATTTATATTCTTAGATCTAACAAAACAAACTAATAACCTTTTTGGTAATTTTACATTTAAACAGCCATATCAGCCAATATATCACCAAACACTTTCACTTCAGCAGATTCAGCCATTTCAACAAATTCAGCCATTTCAGCCGTTAAAGCCGTTACCAAACAGGGCCTCAATATGTATTGTAATATTATTTTGAAAAAAGTTGAAATTGTTTGGTTTTCAAATTGTTTTAGCATTTTAATAAGTAACAATGAAAATGTTTATTCGAGTGTCATTGTTATCTTGATAATGTCAATGTATAAAAATGTCTCCAGATCAAGAAAATGTCACAATGGCAATGTCATTGTCAATGCTATAAAATGGCATTGTAATTATGACAATGTCAATAACTATTACGACAATGTTAATCTTATACAAAAAGTCACAACATCGAAAAAATGTTAATCACGATGACAATGTCAACGACAATGTTATAAGAATGTCAATGACAATGTCATAAGAATGTCAACGCCAATGTCATAAAACTGTTAATTAATCACGATGACAATGTCAACGACAATGTCATAAGAATGTCAACGAAAATGTCATAAAAATGTCAATGACAATGTCATAAAAATGTCAATCATTATGAAAATGACATTATTAAAAATAATGCAAAGCTTTAAAATATACTACATCCGTCCCGCTATTAACTTCCTGCTTTCCTTTTTGGGACGTCCCAAAATTATCTTCTCATTTCCCTAATTGGAAAGTTTCTCCACATCAAAACAGTGTCAAACAGTGTCAAACAGTGTCTAAACAGTGTCTAAACAGTGTCTAAACAGTAAAGTCAAATTTAATTCCTAAAAATGTGTGAGGGTCAAAGTAAGAACATAAAAACGGGACGGAGGGAGTAACTTTTATTTTCAGCAGTTGCAATGTTTCCAAGACAAAGCCAATTCACATTCATCACTTTATATTTTATGTTTATAATAACAATATAAATGACGATATAAATGACTATAATTGCAATCTTAATACTATAAAAAACTTAACAATGTAAATGACATTTGTAATGTCATAACCATGAAAGTGACAAAGGAAGGCTTGTGGATCGCCCACCGATAGCTCTTCAAGATATGGGGCATAAGTGATGGTTCTGGGATGGAGTGGCCTTGCTGCTTAAACCATTCCAATTATTTTTTCAGACTCTCTGACCTTTCCATCCTAATGTTCCTAAATTCAGCATAATCAGGAAACAGGGGTTTCCCCACAATCTTCTCAAGAGTATCATAAACCAATTTGCTATCGACTAAGAACTTCAAATACCCTCCAACACTTCTCCCATTAAGTCACAGGCTGACCTTCAAGCTCCTTTTTCCCTTCCTTAGCGTGGTCCCTGTATGGTGCATCATAGCCACAAACCTCATCTCTTCAACAAAGCACTCTTCTTCTCTCAAAAAAACAAAACAAAACATATAGCAATTACTGTATGTAGCAAAAATGCACTTACGATACAAATTGAAATAGGAAATTACAATAAGACAGAAACCTTAAAACCAACTATGTTAAGGAATCGAAAAAGAAACGGAAGAAATTAGATCTGAAGAAAGAGATAAATGAGCAGCAGCCAGCTAGCCAACGACGGAAGAAAAGAAGAAAAGAGGAGCGGTGGAGGAGAAAAGAGAAGAAAACGAAGAAGACAGATCTGATCGGCAACACCTTCGCCGGCGGTTCCCTGCATCTATTCCTTGCCGCCCATCTTCTCTTTCATCGTCGGCGCACCTTCTCTTTAAAGATTTGATCTCTGTTCTCAGACTTTTTCTTTTCGCGAAGAGTTGGGTGCAGAAAGGGTCGGAAAAGCGCAAGGTGTCGAGGAGTCTGGAAAGAAAAGTACTAAAGGGGTAAATTTGGCACACGAGGAAAAAATAGTCTTATTTTTTCACATTTTACTCACACTTCAAAGTACGTTAAGTTGCTGGTGGTCGTAGCTCAACGATAGATAGGAGGTGTGACACGGGATAAGTCATGTGTTCAAATTCCGACAAAGGCAATGTGAGTCTTGGGAGATTACTATGTAAAATGTATGGGGTTTCTGCAAGTACATGGACCGGAACTCGCTATGTACATAATTATTTATGATTAAAGTTCAATTTACACTTTCCTGATTAACTGTTGGGACTCTGTTGGTACTTGGGGCACTCCTGTCATCCTTTTTTACAAAGTCAAGTTCATCAATTTCAATTAGACTTACACTTGTGTGTAACAAAGCTAATCCGGGATTGGGGCTGCTGTGGAAAAAAGCTTATAAAACTTGCAAAACCAATTACGGTAATCACGTTGAAACAGTTATATTGAAAATGACAAAAATGATATGCTAGAATATTCTAATCTGAAACGTAAAACACAAAAGCTACCGGTCAAAGGGAACTCATTTTGCATTATTACAACTTTTTCTTTTGGATTAAATTATAGTTTACTTAGGACTGCATTAGAATAAGGAAGAATTTTTCTGTGTGCAGCCCAAATGAAATGGAGTATAAGATTGTGACAAACTGTACTCCTTTCATTTGCATTTCTTTTTAAAGCCTTTTAGCATGCATTAGAAGCAGGGATGGATTTAGGGGGCGGGAGGCAACCGCCCCCCTTGGAGTTTCAAAATTTTCTACCATATATGTAATATTTTCATAAAACTTTCATAATTTAATTAGATTCCCCCCCAGCTTTTAATTTTCAAAAGTAATATATAGTGTTACATAATGTAATACTTAATTGAAGATTTAAAAGAAGGAACATCTAAAATAATTACATAACTTAAACAAATAAACAATAGAATAACTCGTTGTTTAAGATTTAGGATACTTATTATATAAGAATTCCTAGTTTTGTAATGTTTAATTATTTTTATTAGATAACAAGTACTTGATTTTGTAAAATATATATCAAACAATATTAAATATCAGACACACTAATTACACAGTTTTTAGATCACGTGAAATGAATCCAAAATATAAATGTTTATTGACATTAAATTACATAATTCATTTACTTCTTGCTTTCTAAAAATAATTTATTGCATAGATAATAAACTTTAAATTATTATAGCATTAATACAAATATTAAAATATAATATGCACAATATGTGTGTGTGTGTGGTGCATACTATTCTAAAAATAATAATATCATACATACTACTATTGTAATATTAAGAAAACTTCTCATGAGTCATGACTCACGAACACCCTCCTTGGTGGCCGGACAAAAATTACAATTCAATAATAACCGATTCATGAGGTTAAACAATGTAGAAGTTATTAAAAATGTATTGGTTGATGTCTTTGTCATCGTCTAATTTAAACTTAGAATGTACAACTTAATAGATTTAAATGTCGTTGGGGATGTGTATGTATTAATGTCATTTTTTGAATAAAATTAGCCGCATAGCCCTACAGTAGCGGAAAAAATTCGCCCCGCTACACTAGGGGAAAAAAATTCGCCCCACTACACTAACGAAAAATTTTTCACCCCCACACTACCGAAAAATTTCGCCCCCCTTAAATACAAATCCCGGATCACCCTTAAAACTTACGGAGTATAAGGTATGAAGTTGGAGTATTATTTAAAAATCAACACAACTAATACAAGAACAGTTCAAGGTCGGGTAGAACAAACTGATATTGTTGCATTAACTCTTGGTACCTTAACTATTGATATTGTTACATTTTGATATTGTAACTCTTTAATGAATCAAAACAGTATCTTTAACTATACATAAATGTTTCAATTTGCAATATTAAATTTCCGACAAAAAAATCATAAGTGGTGGCTCGAACTCTATGATCACTATGCGTAAAGTATATGTCACCTTATTGTTGTCCATATGATCACTATAGGGACTAGGGTGACTATACACATCGAATTTTGATCGTCGTGAAGGTTTTTTTGTCGCAAATTTGAATAAATCTCAAGTTAGAAACATTTAAGAGTTTAGTACCAAAATGTAGCAATATCAATAATTTCGGTGCCATTTATTCATTTGACCCAACAAACTCTTTTCAACCCATTTAGATTGAGTTATGTGAATTCATATATCAGTACTAAATAAAAGAGAGAATTCCCTAAATAGGAGTAAAAACGTTTTGAAATTACAAAATAGAAGTACTATGTTTTTTATTATCTAAATAGAAGTAAATTTTTGCCAAGTTTGATATTACAAGGCTTTAAATATGGAATTTCAAAACGTTTTTGTTGGGCAATTTCTATTAATAAAAATATACCAGCTGCCTAATAATTATTGGTAACCTAGTATTGATAGGTTCTGCTTCGGATCTGGATCATGAATTTGGTCAAGTGAAGTGAATTAGTCAATGTCAGTCTCAAACCGGGAGTAGAACAGTGTTTTCATTTCCCGTTCTTTGGCCGGAAGCAAATCCGAGAAGGCATTAGGCATCCCAGTAGAGGGAGGATTGGTCTCCGCCATTAACTTCTTCCTTGAAAAATAAAGTAAGAGGTTCTATTATGCTTTCGTTTTTATTTGATTTCTAACTTGGGGATTTACGGTTTTGGTCCGACTTCCTTTGTAGTAGAGAATTTTTTCCGCTTCAAATGAGTGTGAGATATATTCATATGTATGTTCTTGTCCTAACAATGTCTAGAGGATGTGTATTTCTCGTCGGCGTAACTGATCAGGTGGTGAATTTTCGTTGTGCATGAGTGACAAGACTCACTGAACCTAGTTTCTTTAGATCTCGGCTCTCGGCTATGCGCCCTCTTTATGAACCACTGTCTTACTCGAGAAATATAGCGCTCTATTAAATCTCCTTTTCGGCGGCTGGTCAAACTGGTGATTCAGACAATTCTTGCTCAATAGAACTTCTTTTTATGGTTGCGAGTCAAATAAATTCTTTCTTTCCGATGGTTAGTGAATAGTGAAGTCGGATATTTTAATTATAATTTTTATTTTTCCTTGAAGTAGCAAATTCAACAAGGTTGTTAGACTAGGCTATATTATTGTAGGATTAGCCATCTGAAGTGATTCATTGGATCTTTTATGTTTCATATTTCATCCCATTGTATCCTTAAGTTATTCATTCATTTGTTTCATTGCTATCATTACTGAATAATTAGTTATTTGTTTGTCAAAAAAGGGATAATGTAACCAATAAACCAAATATACAAAATTCTAACGTGTTGAGGTCTCTCCATAGTATAAGCTACTCTAAATTCTAGGTTAAATATAAATTTCGTACAAAAGTTGTCAGAGTTTAAGGGACGATAATGAAGTTTAAACCATATTGTGGTATACATTTCTAAACATGTTACTCACACTTCGATTCTTCGAAGTAAGTTGATCACAAAGTAAGTCAGGTTTACCAATTCCAATTAGATTAACACTTGCGTGTATAATAAGGCTAATCCCCGATTGGGGCCGGCTGCTGTGGGAAAAAGCTTATAAAACTTGCCAAAAGCAATTTCAGTAATCACGTCAACATAAAAAAGATATGCTAGAATATTTTAAGTTTAAATGTAAAACACAAAACTACCGGTCAAAGGAAACTCATTTTGCATTATTACAACTTTTACTTTTGTACTCCGTATTAAATTATATTTTACATTTTTACGTAGGACTGCATAGAACAAGGAAAGATATTTCTGAGTGCAGCCCAATTGAAACACCGTAGTATAAGATTGTAACAAACTGTATGTCTGTATTCTCATTTCTAGTTTTGGACCAGCCTATTCCCAATCAACCCTTAAAACTTAAAACGTAGGAAGTAGGAACTATGATCAACACAAGTAATACCAGAACAGTTTGAGGTCAGGTAGAACAAACTGTTTTCCACCCAACTTGGATTCAGTTTATCCAAATTCATATACTGCATAAAAATATACCAGCCTATTACTTATTGGTAACCCGATATGAGAGGTTCTGCTTCAGATCTGGATAATGAATTTGGTCAAGTGCAGCAAATCAGCCAATGACAGTCTGAAACCGGGAGCTTGTCCAAGCTTACACAAAAGGCACAAGGCTTGGACAGCGTAAAACAACATCTTCAATGCCTTGATAGGTAGTGTAACCAAATATACAATACTCTAACCTATTAATGTCTCTACACCTTAAAGCAAGTAGGCCACCTTCCATGTTAGATGTTTCAACATATTCTGCTGCTTAGAGATATGTTACTCTAAAATCTAGGTTAAATATATATAAGCAAATTCTGCCCACAATAAACATTGCTCTACTAGTTAGTATAAACATTACTCTGCTAGTTAGTACTCAGTTGTAACCCGCACTTGTCAAATTGCCCTCAGGTCTTTCTCTTCCCCTTGAGTATCCTCCATTGTTTAATAATATGCTCCACACCTTCCTTTAGGGAAGCCCTTCTCTTCTCTTTGACGTTCCAAAGCTCTTTCACTGGGTACCTCCCACTAGGGTTGTATTCATTCAACTCTTTCAGCGCAGTCTTCACCGCTTCATATACTTCCTCACCATGCTCCTCCTTTAGACCAACCAGCCTTTCATCTTCTTCATCTATCACATCCTCCTCCACCTCCTGAAAGTGTGACATTTGGGGTTAAAAAAGTAATTCAGCATAATACTGATATGTACTCTTTAATCATGAAGGAAGGCATACACTTGCATTATTATCTGATCCATCACCCTTCTTGATGACACGCTTAAAAGGATGCCAGTGGGGGTCACTTAAGTTATTGTCCCACAGTGTGCACAGCTCCTCTGCTTTTTCTGGTACTTCTTTTTTGGAATATTTTCGCTTAGCAACAACAATGAATGGCTTAGTATCAAGATCCCCCATTAACTTCACAGAAATGTTGGCACGGCTGCCTTTCAATCCCTACCCAAAAGGCACCAAGAACGGGTTGACCGAAATCAAATTAAAAAACTCAATAGATTAGGAATCTAGAAAGCGATTACTCAGTATAAAGAGAACAAGAGAAGACGATAACTGCTAGATTCCTCTAGCATATATCTAAAATTACCGTGCAACTTCAGCCTTTTACGTGATAAACCATCTAAATAACTTGAAAAGAACACTAGTCCGCTCTAATATGGACTTTGCTGGAATAACCATCAGCTGCACAAATGCACAAATGGAATTCCCAGATTTCCATATTTATTTTGATGCTTAAAATTTATTTCATAAGAAGAATGCTGTAACAGCTATATATACTTCCTGCTTCCATGTATGTGTGGGTGAGTAATCTATAGAGATGTCTACTGAATAAGCTAACTACACAATTCCTAAATAGTAAATAGATTATATATCTCATTTAAGCCAACAGGTAAAACGAAAACTATACTACAGCTTTGGTTTTTGTTCATTTTTAAAAAATGTGTACTACATGAAGCACAAAAGAAATCAAATAAAATGTGCTCACATTGATCAACTCTTTACGAGCATCTTGCACTTCATCATTGTCGCGCCGTTGCTTTATAATGAGATTGTTGTTCGTGTTTTCCATATCCTCAAGTTCTTCTTCCTTCTCTTTCAGCTCTTCTTCAATTGATGTCAGTTTTTTCTTAGCTAGCAGATCTCCTTCCTCGCCCATATGTCTCCTGACTTCAATGGCACCTCTTAAGGACTCAATCGCTAATTCCAGTGCTTGCTTTCTATCCAGTTCCTTTTCAAGTTCAATGATTTTTTGGTGATAGAGCTCTTTTTCTCTCTGAAATATGAAAAATCAGTAAGATTTTCTCTACTTTGATGTAAGCACTAACTACCAACTTTTGCGCATTTTACTGAATTAGCTTCTAGTGTGCTTCGTAAAATAAAGGAGGAAAGCATACCTTTTGCTCTTCAGCTAATTTCAACATTGTCTCATCAGCCTTTTTTTGAGCAAGAATTGCCTTCTCATTCTGCAAAAATAATAAACTTTTCTTTTCAGAAATTCTTACTATTACATATTCAAAAAGTTTTATTTATTTTGTTATGTTTTCAGGAACTAAAACATGAACAAGAACACCCATTATGGTAACCAAAACAGAGTTTATTTGCATTAAAAAAATGCTCTGCACATGGTCTCCAGCTTCAAGATAAAAAATAATGAACATTTCCAAATGACAATATTAGCAAAGCAAAGAGCATCATACCATCTCTTTATCACTATCAAGCTTCCTCTTCTCACTTTCATTTAGTTTTTCACGAAATTTCAGTTCATTTTCTTTCAGTTTCAGCTTTTCACGCTGGTCATTTAATCTTTGCTCACTTCTCTTATTCTCCCTTAGAATATTCTGTAGCTCTGACAATGCCTTTTGCTGCATCTTCTCCAACTCTAGTGGAAAGCATATAAGTGAATTATAATGTTATAGATTCATCTGACATAATAAATTTAATGTAATTTCTTAGCTTAATCTAAGTAAAAAAAAATTAACCTGAAGTTTAGGCAAAATGAAAAGAAGAATGGTTTGTGTACCTTTGTTATACTTTGCAAGCATCTCGTCCTTTTGTCGCATGACATTGTTCAGCTTCCTATCAGTTTTACTTATCTTCTCTGCAATCTCCTCGCACTTCCTGCTCTTGGACTCCAGCTTTGTGGTCAAATCAGAATACAGCTTTGAATTCTTCCTCTGATTCTCGTTTTGGATCTCAGAAATAGATTTCAAATCTCCATTTTTCTTGAGATAATGACCAATAATGCCAGGGGCATTGTAGTCATCACGGCCAGCAATCCACGCAAAGAGCTTGTCATCTCTCTTCCCGGAAGTCCATTCCAATTTTCCATGTTTATCCAGCTCGAACTCCCGTCCAAATGCCATTGCATTTTCAAACCCAGAGAAGTCCCGGGCAAACTCCACAATAGTGAAGCCAGAATGCCCCTTACTACTCCACAATGGTTGAACCTTCACTGGGTTATACCCTTTGGCAACCCACTCCTCTTTAAGCTTTTGCCCGCTCTCGCCAATAAACTTTCCATCCTTGTACTGAATAGGAACATTAGCGACTATTCCCTTCCAAGGCCAAACAAAACTTTCATCATTAAGCCGAGAAAGTGCGCTGGGGCGCAATGGGTTAACTGGAGGCAGAGTCGCAAGGGATGCTTCAGGCACATAATTTTTCAATGTGGGGGGTAAACAGCTAAAAAACAGGATATGAGGATATCAGTCTTACAATAAATAGCATAAAATAACAAACAAAGATAAAATAACTTAACAATCAATTGCTTCTGTAATACATAAAAACAAAATACTTCAATAGGTAATTCCTATTTTGGACTGATATTAGGATATCCATGGCTCCCCCCATTCCACGCGCTCTTAGACAATTGGATAGTCATGCTCTAAACCCAACAAGTTACATTTTGTAATAAGGCACGATTCAAGTATCTAGCTAAAAAAGAAACAGGAGAGGCACCCAAACAGATTTTCAAAACTGTGATGTCAGATGTTGATTACTAATGTAAGGGAATAATGCATTTGTCCTACTGTCTTATATGAACAGAATACAGATAGTTCCCTAAACTAATAAAAGGCATTGATGGAAAGCAATATAGTTGAGATTCCATTGAAATCAGTGATGCAGGCCCCACTTCTTCATCTGTTTTTTTTTTGTTTGGTTTAGCTACAGAGAATACATAGGTAAGCAGGTAGCTGGAATCCAAAAATACTCATTTATGTTTTCTTTGTTCACTTATCTCAGCTGTAATGAAGAGAACCAATGAAGACTCATTGACATCATTTATTCTATCCAATATTTCCTATGGCTCGTCTTGGAAGTTATAAAAATGGTACCACATCAAAGATTTATACGACATAAAGAAACATAGAACAGTACAGACCTCCGATCATCTTGTCCATCTTTAGTGCTTTCTCTTCTGCCATCACATTCATCCCTCCTAGAAGTCTTAAGGGGTTTGTAAGGGAAGGGTGACGGAGAAAGTCGTGGTGATGGTGGGTCCCGGTCATCAGAGTTATCCCTCCTTGGGCGTTTGTAGGACGGAGGCGAGCGTCGTCGTGAGGGGGGAGAGCGGCGTCTGCCATCATAGTTATCTCTTTGAGAACCCTTGGAAAAAGAATGTGGTGACGAGCGACGGGAGTGTGGAGCTCGAAGGCCATAACAGTCATCCCTCCTGGAGGGAGAGTACCGCCGTGAGTGAGGAGAGCGACAGTCATCATAGTCATCCCTTTGAGAGCGAGAACACTTGTAAGATGATTGTGTCATCGAGCGTCGTGGCGGAGGAGACGGAGAAAGAGGAGGGGTGGACCTCAAGTGGCTCCTTTTGTAGCGACGTTCTCGAAGCCGCGGAGACCGACTGCGACTGGAGTAATGCTGTCGTCCACGTTTCCTTTCTAAGCCTCTGTCATCTTTCCGTTCAAGGCTTCTCCGCTGCTGAAGAGGTGGTAGTGGAGAAGGCTTGACCTCGTCGGTCATCTTGTCGAAGTTACCCTTACTCCATTTACTACTGTGATCCACACCTTCGAATGGGGAATCCATTGCTTCGCCTATTGATTAAGCTCTGTACCTCAGGAAAAATGAAGTTGACGACAATAATAGCTGGGATGGCTATGAATCCAACTGTTAAGAACACATTTCCAGCTCCTATTAAGTCATGTACAGTCAATAAAACAGGCATAAGTCTTTGTGGAATTATCAGAAATCAGGAAATTGCTCATAAAATGTACTCAAAACCTTTAAGTTACCTCTATAGGAGAAAATGCAAACATAAAGATTGATTTATAAATCATATTACATGGAATACAAAACTGAAATCGATAATATGACTTGGAGAAACTCAATACACACATAAAGATACTTAAAGAAACTCATATTCACTGAAGGACTCTACCTGTGGCGATGCTTGGTGACTGAAATAGCCGGCTGGAAAATGGTCTCTAGATGACTCAAACTCGCTGGGACGACTCCACTCCGCTCTCTCGTACGAAGTCTTGAGCTGCACTCCACGCCGGTGCCGCAGTTCGGTGCCGCAGACCGGTGCCGCAGTCTGGCCGGCTGAAATTAGGCAAGGACGGTAGGTTAATTCTATTGGAATATTTTATGTATATTAGGCTTTGCATACCATTTTCATAGATCTTATTCAACGTTTATTATTCCCTTTTTTGTTTTATTACTAGTTTTGTACTCGGGCGTTGCCCCGGGACAATTTGCGTATAGTATATATTTTTAGTTTTCATATTGTATGTTTATAATATTTTAATGTATAAAGTTACTAATTCCTATTCGTACGTAAAGCACCAGGATGTGTATTTATGATAATAATAATAATAATACAGAGTAATAAAGATCATACATTTTGTAACATCGTGATATGTCTAAGAGCCCGTTTGGTGACCTCCTTTTTCGGCTTATTAGGCTTATCAGCCAGTTTTTTCACCAAACATGTAATTTTTTATTTCGCGCACCGAATTTTGTAATAAGCAGAAAAAGTAAGGTTGGTGTTGTTTTTCTGGCTGTATTGGCTGAAGTTACTGTAGATGACCATTTTAGCTATTTTTACATATACTTCCTCCGTTCTTTTTTATTAGTCATTCTTTCCTTTTTGGGACGTTTTTTTTTGTCCTCCATTCCATTTAAGGAAAGTTTTTGAGAAAATACCCTCACTTTTATTACTTTTACCTCACTTAATTTTTACAAACTACTTTCTCATTCCTACTTTACCATCACTTTACTCTTCTTAATAGTTAATACACTCTCTTTCTTACTTTATCATCACTTTACTCTTTTTAATACTCCCTCCGTTTCTAAAAGAACCTCACACTTTCCTTTTTTGGATGTGCCAAAATAAAAGTCACACTTCCCTTATTTCCTTATTTGGCAAAGAAATCTACATCCAAACAGTGCCAAACAGTGCCAAACAGTGTCTAAACAGTGTTTTCTACAGTAAAGTCAATTTATTTCCTTAATAACTGTGAAGTCAAACCGTGACTTTCTTTTAGAAACGGAGGGAGTATTTTTTCTTTCCTACTTTATCATTTACCCTACACACTCTATACTTACCCTACTACATTATTATTAAAACCTGTGCCAAACCCTAAGAGGACTAATAAAAAAGAACGAAGGAAGTACTTTTTTCTTTATCTTATTAATAGAATATATTTTAAAAATAATTTTTTCTTAAATCAGCAGAATCAGCCAATGCAGCCACTTCAGCCAGAACTTCATAAATTTCAGCAGAATCAGCCAAAACAGCCGATTTCCGTGCTACCAAACGGGTTCTAAAAGCACATAAAAATTTGGAAAGACTATGTTTCTCAATTTTGTAAAACTTTTCTATAGACAACATTATATTTATGGTCTTGGTAGAAAACCTCGTAGAGTGAATTAAAATATTTTATCCATCTTTGTTGGAGATTCATTCAAATATTGTGGATCTTATTCTAGTGAAACATTGACTATTTGTAGTGAATGGGCAAGATAAACTACAAAAAGAAAAAATAAACATTAGGATAATGAAATGTATTTGGTGTAAGTTTAATTACATGCTAACACATAAATATGAATCTAACATAATAATTTATTCTCCAAAGCCTGCACTATATACATATTTACCAATAATTGAACATAGCCTCTATAAGTTTTTCTTTTTTTGAATTTTTTATGACAGAAAAATCACACTGTTAGTACCTGAAATAGTCAGCATATTGAAATGCTAGACCCCCATTTCTGAGATGGTAAATGTCACCCCTCAATTGTCCAAATTGTTGTAAATGCGCCCCTTTGGGAGGTGAAGTGAACTCCTAGTCTACATTGTAAAATAGCAATTACTGAGAGCAATAGTGCAAATAGAAAAGCTTTCTCTTTAGATAAAACAATTACTTCACACCTTTCCAACAACTCTCTGGATTTAACTATTTTGGACTCAAAATTCTTGTCTCGCTCTTCAAATTCAGTGAATCGCCTCTTCAGTGACATCTCAATATCGCGACAATTTTCTCCAAGTTGCATCCATGTCAGGTTGAGAGCAACAAAGTAGTAACTCTCAATATGAGTCATCACTCTATGCAGTTGCACTTGTGGAGTCCATGTTAGAAGAGAAAGGTTCAGGGTTTGGAGTGGAGCTTCACCCAACATGGTCACTCATCAAGGTTGCATGTACGTAGTCAATCTGTCTGGGAGTTGCTCTTGTGTAGCAATATTGTGTTACAATTACAATATGTAAGTTTTACTTCTTTCATTGTAACATGTGATCTATCTTCCCTATAATTCATGAAGGAGAGGATCCGGTAGTTCAATATTTTTTCCACAATTTTATTCAATCAGACATTATTGATATTCTGTATGTTATTTTATCAATTGGACTTCTATCTGATAAATGTGTGATATTACAGTTTTTATTTATTTTAATAAATTAATCAATGGGAATATTTCCTTGAATAATTAGGTGAGGTTTATGTCCATATATTTGTAGATCCACAATTATATCTAAGGCTGCTCCTTGGAAAAGAATGTCATAGTGTGATTTAATATTGCATGTTTAGAAATCAATAGTAACAACGAATGTAATGTTAGTCTAGTTCCTTTAATTAGTGACAAACCATGTTCAGACTTTATCAAAAAAAGGATTATAGAAGTGATGTTATCCAATCACATATAAGTATAATGTTTTGGAGTCTTATTATTTGAATTTTACAGGTTCGATCTATACAAACATCATAATTTCATTATATGTTTACTTGTGCCCTATTTCACTTTAATTTTTAAACTCTGCACTATTAATACCTCAAATCCTCAACCATAGTACCTTTCACTCATGCCTTAAACATCACGATTGATTATGGACTAATCTCGCCCATAAAAATAAAATTAAAATTTTAACGAATGTCTCATATTGATTTATTGAGTTGTCTCACATACCTAACACTTTATTTATGATTTATAGCTATATTTTCTGACATCCCCTCACCTGATTTTGACAAAAACCGAAAAATATAATTCAAGGACCTATCTAGTATTTATTGATTTTATTCTAAATTTTGAATAGGAAATAAGAAGTACGTCTACTTTAATCTCTAAATGCAATTTTTTTCTCATCCTTGTATTGAGGGATGTTTTTTAGTTTTCCATCCACCATAATTCAACGAAATCTCACATGAGTCACTGGACTACTATAATCTTTCTTTACTTAATATAAGCTTTAACTTTGCAATTCTATTATATGGGATTATTTAATTTAAGATTATATAAAGGTCATTGTATCATTAACTCCATTTAGGTCTAGCTTTCCATTCTGATCTTAAGTAAATGATACTACCTCCGTCCCCTAATAGAGGGATGGAATGGAATGGTGTGGCTTTTAAAAAAAAAGGTAAAGTTATGTGATTGACTGATTGATAATGATTTGATAAAGTGGAATAAAGTAAAAATGAATGTGCTACTCCTTGAAATGATTAAAATTTCTTGAAACTTGATCTTTAAATCAACCTAAACATATTTTGTGAAGACTTCGTCTTTGTCTTTAAATTTCTACCACGCACTTTGGGGGTAGCATAAATCTAGATAAACTGCCAAATTGCTATAAAGATGAGGGAAAATTATTTGAGTAATATAAAAAAACATATAGTGTAGTCATGTAACACACACAAGAGTCAGATCTGTACTGTAGTGCAGTGATATAAAAAACCATGTAGTGGAGTACGTCATATAGTGTACAAAGAGCGTTTATTGTCCAAAATTTGTATGATGCTTCAATTCTTTACGTGATTTGTATTGAATACCGAAATTCGAAGTGTTGCATATTATTGAATACTGAAATTTGGGTGATGAAATAAACGATTGCATATTAACATTGAAAATGTTGCATCAAGAAAAATTGGTTTTTTTTTCCTCCGGAAGGCAAACCACCAAAATCAGTGGGGTAAATGTCGGAGAACATTTACCAGATTTTATTCAGAAGTTCCAAAACAAATTAAGAGGGGGACCAAACCAAAACCTCTCAAAAGGAAACAACAACAGAAATTACAATTAGTATCTAAAAGACGGAATGCCAAATAAATCAGAATAATAGGCTCTTTTAGCATTTTCGGGGAGGGAATACGGACCACCAGAAGCACCTTCAGATAAGTAGCAAGCATCAGTATTCATTTTCATTTTACCCTTGGGTTTTCGCCAACGAACAATTTGAATATTTCTGCCCTGATTCTTGTAATTCTTTGGAATAATATATTCCTCCCTCATCAGCAAGTTGACATCCTCCCACTTATTTAACAAAATTATGTCCACAAATACTCATCTTAAAATTCAATCAGAAAGTCAGTTAAATAAATTACTGAAAAGAATTGCGCTTGTTATAATCAATGTACAATTTTCATGCTCGATATCATCTATTTTCTAGAATCTGGGTATTCTTATACTAATATGTTCTCTTGTTTATTTAGGATAACATTTTATAATTAGTTTTTGGTACTTATTGATAACTTAAGATTTAGTATGCTTGATGAGTTTGTTTCAAAAATAATGATAATTAAAAAGATATTTACAAAATTAGGGTCCGTTAAATCTATTTATCAAAATACTATCAGAATGAACTGTAATTAACCAAAGAGCACCAAAGACGCCAACTCACTTGACAATTTTCTCTTAAAATTTGAAATCAGGAACAAAGCTTAGCAAACGGGAATAGCTAGCAAATCAAATCACTTCATGGACCAAAACTAAAAAAAAAAACTCTCTTTCTTAAGTTCCTTTAACTCTTTTATTATTTATAATCTAGTTTTTACAAAAAAAATATCAAAATTAATAACTTTTAATTATCTTACATATGACACCAATATTGCATATATAAATTAAATTAAATTAAATTAAATTGAATCCCAATATATTTATTTTAGAATTTGGATCTACGAAAATTTTTGAACCTAAAAACTCCACCAACCGTATATTTATTTTCTAATATGCAATAATAGGTTGATAAGAATAATAATAAAAATTGGAACAATTAATGATATTGAACTATCTAGTAGAACACATTTGCTTAACAGTAGTGATGGAGTACGTAATGCGCAATGAGATATGGGAAATA